CTTTCATAACTTTCATACTTTCCGGTTCCCTGCTAGCAGAGTTCATCCACGGGAGACGCTATTAGCATGGAAACTCTACGGCAACCCCAAAAGCTAACCTTTAATCGTGTTTAATTTTAATTGAAGGAGTTTTTCAATCAGATGATTCGAATCTGTCTTTGACTATTTGTCCACACCACCGGGATGCATAACTTACGGCACGGACCTGGCAAACGAGGTTAGTAAGATATTTATTATATGGGCACTGAGATTAAATTAAGAAAAAGGCATGTCAAACGAGAACTGCAACGGAAGGGCTTCCTGTACGTGCCACAAGTCATGTAGTGTTTGAGTTGACCAAAAAAGAAGTTTTAGTTTATTTTGAATGAATTTATCTATAGTTTAAAGTTTTGAAAAGTTCTGAAATACTAGTTAACAAAAGTGAAGCTTTCTTTTGCAAAACTCAAAATCTCTCCAGAAATAGTGAATGAGAAGCTTTGAAAAATTACGGCTCGCTGAACATGGACAGTTTTTCGTCATTTTTCAACGTTTTGGCTGTTTGAAGCAGGCCGTCATATGCACAATGGCTGAAGTCATGACGACACACTTTCGACTCATTTAAAAAAGATACTGAACACTCTCCTGCCCACAAATGCATTGTGCAAAGTGCAAGTGTGGATAAAATATTCCTGAAATATGGAAATACTTCAAGAGCAGATGGGCCTAGAAAACTGGTTAAAACTGACGGCGTTTAATAACGTAATATAAAACAACTGGCTTCTTCACCCAATCGATTCACATAAATTCAAACTTGATGTTGCATTAGCTTACTGATATAACAAATTTATATTAATTCATCTTCTTGTAAGACTTAATCTTAATTTAATTTACTTGAATTAACAGCTATTCACCACCCTTTACTTTGTAGTTTCACCTAGTTTTATTTTTAGTTTTTCTAGTCGTACAAAATCGCTCAACAAGTGCCGTGTAGAGCCTTGATCTAAAGAGTTGTCTCTTGCTATGATCAGTTCTAAATTAAATGCCAGTGACTTTCAGTTATCTCAAGAGAATGAATGGCATGAAAGAATGGCATGCATAATTTAAGAGCAATAGGGCCGAATGATGGGTGTGTTTTAATGCACTTCGGAATAAACCCTGGATTTGATCTTTATTTCAATGCATCCCTAAAATAAGTGTGTTCCCCATTCTGTGAATTAAAACATAGGAAAACTGCCAATTATCAATACTAAAACAAGCAGTACAGCAAACATACATAATATCTGTGTCCCAGTAATTAAGTTTTTTTTTTATCAGAGTTATCTGTACTATGTGTTCTACATACAATTGAAGATTATTGGGGAACGTAAACAGCCGGCCAAAATGGTTGACCACTTCTTTATCTCTGGTTGACCTCTTTTCTATACCAATAGTAGTGCAATAATCACACCTAGTGAAACGATTGACCTTAAATGAAAAGTTACTGAATTATTTAAGATAATCTTCTGCGGCAAGAAGGAATAGATTGAGAAACTATAAGCTAACTAATAGAGAGATTACACTAAAACAAAGTTGTTAATGAGAAACATCTCTCAATCAGAACATTTATATTGCACAAAGGAGTGAGGAATTATTATAAAAGGTATCTTAATTTGCATTTCCCTTTGTATAAGGCAGGTTCTGGATGAGTAATAGTGTGATTTTGTAAGTTGATTGGAATATCGAACAGATGAAATAGTGATATCTAAAATATAGTTTAAATAAATAAATTAAAAAATTAGTAGCATTGTAAATTAGACGACCCTCTGTAAAGAAAGAAAAAATTTTGTATTGTTTTCAAGTAAGAATTATAAATGTTGTAAAAAAAATATTGTGAAAAAAAATAATAGATGTAATAAAAAAAAGGTAAACAAAAAAAACAAAAAAAAAAACCATAAATGTAATACCAACCATAAATGTAATAACAAATTAACCATAAATGTAATACTAACCATAAATGTAGTAATCTTTAACCATAAATGTGATACTAACCATAAATGTAATGACGACTCAACCATAAATGTAATAATCGACTCAAGCATCATTTTAATGAGTTTCAACAAATATGAAAAACATCTAATACTATAAACTGCATTGAGAATAGGCAAAAACAATCTCATGACAACTGCAACAGAAATAAAAATAACAACTGCGTGGTTTTGTCCAACATTTTAGTCAATTTGTTTGCTAGCTACTGAGAAACGTAGTTCTTTTTATATTGTACATGGAGATAGAGATTACTCCACGGAAAGTGCCACGAACGATTTTTATTCACGAGTTGCGCAGCACCAAAAAAAGGAACGAGTGAGCGCAACGAACGAGTGAGTTTTTTGGTGCGTAGCAACGAGTGAATAAAAATCGTTCGTGGCACTTTTCGTGGTGTAATTTTTTTATTTCATACATACTAAGATTTTCTGGGTTTTTACATACGTGCATCTACGGCCGCGCCGCAGGCAGGAAGCCATTCAAGTGCAATAACACACACTGACATTATGCAAAAAATACGACAATTTCTGTTTAACAATTTAATTAGAAAAACGAATGAAGCAAACAAATGAAATAAAGTAAATATTTATACATAAATAAATAGATAAATATAGAT